GGTTGTCATGATTCCCAGTATCTGACAATGGACTTGATACATTGTCAAACGTTTCGCCGGCATCGTAGTCGGCAGCATGAGTGAGCTTTGCCATTCTCCGCACCAAGCTACGAACTCGTCAAAGTGACAAGTAAAGTCAATCCCTCGACAACCGTTCTGCCGAAAACGGTTACACTCTTTGACGAGTTCGTAGCTTGGTGCGGAGAATGGCAAAGCTCACTGAAGATGCCGACTACGATGCTGGCGAAACGTTTGAGAATGTATCAAGTCCACTGTCAGTTGCTGGGACTCATGACAACTACTATGGCAGACGACTTTGAACTAGATGCGTTCTACATAGTCGCCCTGACAACAAGACCAAGTTGCGACAACGAGGTGAAACCAGTTCTATATAATATTTGGTTACTAAATATTAAATGGCCATTGCGCCTTAATACTGAACTATTCAGCCTTCCTGCGTAGGTAAGAACGTAGCTCTGGCAAAATAAAAAAACTGACAATGCCAGGAGTCCTCTTCAGAGAATCGTCGAGTACTCCTACAGCGCCCCCTCATTAGAAAGAAGATACAGCCATCTCTTATGTACTAAATTTTTGCCAGGCTTCCCTAGTTTATATAATCAGTAGGGTTTGAGAATTTTACTATTTTTAGGTTGTTAGATCATGTGCCGTTCAGTGAATAATAAACCAGCCAGTGTTTTTAAAGCATTGACAATAATCACGCAAATTATTATAAAAAATTAAAAATCGAACATAATGTGCTTTGCTATAATATTCTTCACTAATCGTTTTCTCATCAAATAACACTGCTATACTGAAAGATTTTCTTTTAATTATTTTTTACAAAACTAATCAAATTGCTAAAACTTGATAAGAATTTGGTCATCCTAAGTCACTTAGGATAATTTAAGGATGGATACTTGAATTTTCCTATAATCAACTGCCTAGGCCACATGATGTTGTCATGGGAATGTCATAATTTTACTGCACGTCCATCGGTGCCGGTGGGTCATAGAGTAGATGTGATGTTTAAGGCAACGAGGCCTTACC